CAGGACTAAGTCGGTTACACCAGAGTCTTGGACTTGATGTCCCTGTTGCTTTTGTTGCACCTGCAAAGCAGTGGAATCTTCTAGCGAAGAGCAGCTTCATGCCAGTCATGCCAGCAGAAGCAACGGCCTTTTCACGNNGGGGATGGCGCAGCACAAAAAAATCGTTTGGCAGGATTTGGGGCGACCTGCGCATGCCTATTGCTGAATTGTTGCTGAGTCTGGGATGCATACTCCTCAGCTGCATGTAGCGTCCAGTCCTTCTCGGGGGATTCCGAGGGGTTTGAGGTTCGGGCGTGTATTGGTGTAGGAGGGTTCCAGGGTTTTTGGCCGGAGGTGGATCTCTTAATGTGCCCGAAACCCCGAGACCTCCTCTTTGGGCGATGAAGTCTATGTACGTTTTGGGGTGAGGCCCTTGCGGGGTGGAATAGTAGGGGATATACGGTTACAAATTCCCTCATTCCCTATGAAGAACGAGTAGGGCAGCTTCACCTGCTCCAGGGCGTCCACGACTCCTTCGCGGCATCTTGGCCTTGGGCCGAGGATGGATGTGAACTGCGTCCCATGACTGAGTTCGGAATTTAGGTTTCTGGGGTTTAGGGTTTTTGGGGGTTAGGGCCTGCGGAAGCAGTGATTCAGGTGTGAGGTGCATGCCGGTTCAAGAATTTAGAGCAAGGCCCCGTAAACCTAGTGTCGAAACCCTGAACCCTAGACTAAGCCCTGAAGACTTGGGCAGTTCGCAGGCTTCGTGTGGCATTGTGTTTGGGGGATTACTGATTAAGGGGCGGACGCTGCAGGGCTGAAACGTCAACAATGTTTTAAACGCCTGACACCCAATAACCCAATACCCGAAGCCGCTGAAGCTCCATGTTGCCAACAACATTTCCAACGGTCCATGACCGACAGCAAAGCCACCTCCAGGATCTCTGCCCGTAGCTTTGGTCTAATCTGGTCTCCATGTGTGTCACACGGGTCGCTTAAAAGCATCGTGCCCATTGTGCCAGGCCATGGGGCAAGCGCAGGCGACATTGGGCGGGCCAGAAGCTTGGAGAGGGCAGATCGATTCCTATAGGGCCGCAGTTGCAGCAGATGATTGACCATGGAAGTGTTCCACATGTGCCCACGGCCAAGTCAGTCTCACCGCTTCCCCCCAAGTCTGGCATGGTTTCGCAAGTCGGGCCATGGCTGCTCTCGAGTGTACTTGTTTTTTAGACGACTGCGAAGTTTGTCAGCGGCGCTTGGCTGCTGCGAAGCCAATCCAACCTGTAGAGAGGCAGGTCAATCCATGGCTGAAAGTATCCAGGCAGCATCAAATGAGCTGCACGCGTTGCGTCTGACGTGTCGGCATGTCCGTGTCCCAAATAGCTTCTTTGGCCAGGTTCTCAAGGAGGACCGCAAGAAACACGGGCTCCAGGACGTCACAGGGTCAGGGCGACCTTTGACAGCAGAAGCCAAGCAGATTGTGGCCAACGTCATCACCATGCTGCCTGTTCTCATGGATGCCCGCCTCCTAGCTAGAGGAGATTCGTGGAACTCGTGCCTCGATGCCCAAGTCAAGTTGACAGGGACAGTATCGTCGAATTAAGTTCGTTCTTCAACGCCGGCCCCCTCTCTGCCCACAAGCTCCCAAGGTTGCCAGGCAAACAACAACCCGGCGTCGGGCACGGCAGCCGTGTGGACTGTTTGCTTTCTCGGCTACTGCGTGTAGGTGTGCGCACCATTGCGTCTGTGCGGAAGCAAGTCCGAGAGATGCATGCTGAGCGCGAAGCAACTGGACAAGAAGACCGCGGCTTGCAAGCTCCCCAGAGACGTGGTCGAAAGGCCCAGGGCAAGGCTCCTGCAGAGGATGCGCGTGCACAGCACGACGGTGCTGTTTGCAGCGCCGCAGTGGCATCCACAGAGGCCGTGCCAGTCCAGCAAGTCGGCGAGGATCTTGAAAGACAGATTGCATTGCGGCTTGGACGAGTGGCCTTCGATGTCCTTGTACATGGCCTGACGGAGCAAAGCTATACTAGACAAGTCGCGCAACTCCACACAGCCGGCGTGGAAGTTGGCCATAAACACCATGAACCTCGGTGTTTTGAGGCTTCTTCAGGGTGGTTAGGGTTCAGGGGTGCAGAATATTCAAAGGATTTTGCGAAAAAAGCGCAGCGGCTATGCGTTCTGTCGTAATATTCATTGGCGAGCCCAGAAGGTGTAAAAGGAGTACCTTATTGGTCTGTCTAGCGGCCACCTCTTGGGCAGGGCTGCCCTGTTGCAGCACATGTCGCTTTCCTTCAGGAGCTGCATGTATTATTTCTGAAAGGTTATCGTGCAAGTTTGTCGCTTTCTTGCCTGTGCCTTGTGGTGGCAGGGGCCCGAGCTTCTGTTGTTGTCCTTATCCAATTTATTTTGGCTGCGGCTTGTGTTGGTAAAGGTGTGCGTAAGAAAGAGAGAGTTAGGGTGCAAGAAGGCTGGTGAGGGCTTTCTTGTGCTGCCAAACTAGCAAAGACAAGGATGGGCATGCCCTCAGGGCCTTATCTCATGCTGGGGCCTGCCTTTTGCAAGCAGAGCTGCGCAAGCGATTCCGACAGTTACCGCCTGCGCTTAAGAATTATGGCTTCACCAGTGGCAGCTGGAGCATCGAATGCGATGGTGTGATTAGGCCGCACTTGTGATTGGATGATTGACTTGACGGACCTGCAACTCCTCCATCTGTATAGCATCAGCCCTGGAAAGGTTTCTGCCAGGGGCTATGGCATTTCCGCATGGCTCCCTTTGGTGACGGTCTTTTGATTCGCCGTATTCTAAACCCTTGATCACACTGAGGGAACGCCTGAGCCTGGCCCTGAGCCCGAAAGCCTGAGGTGACATTACCAGATGGGACTAGCCTTTTTGTTGTGCTCATTCATTTCACGAATGAAGAGGGCGAGTTGATGCGAGAGGCTTAGCAAGTCCGTTAGTGTGTTCCATGTAGGAGGTGAGATTCGTTTCAAAGTGTCGCTGGATGAGGACAGCATTGCTGGATTGCCCCAGCCATGGTCTGAGCTACAGTGGCGATGCAGATGCACGTCTGCTCAAAAAGACGGTCGAACCAAGCTCAGTGTTTGTCTCTGCTGTCAGACGTGATACTTCCAAATGCAATAAGATAGGATGACTTGAGCGCTCGTGGCGAGGAAAATGGGTTGCTGTCACACGCCAGTCCGGCCAATGAACTCATGCCGGCCACCAAGAAGCTCCGTGATCAGCTTTGGGCAGGGCTGAACACCCTCTGCGCAGATCAAGTTCCTTGGAAGCCAACGTCGGCGAAGAGCCCAAACCAGAGCCCCCCAACTATCCCTGAACCCCAGCAAACAGCCCACAGAAGCCTTTGCGCCTTGAAGCTCTTGTTCCGTCTCTGGAACCCAAGCCCCAGAACAGCCTGAACAAAAGATGTTTAGTGGCTTATATAGTGCAGCATCGACTGTTTGTTTCCGTGCAAACTGCGCACACTGGCACACACACACACACACGCATTGATGTGTGCGTAAATTGATGTATGCCCAGTATGTGGCCGAATCTGAAACCTCCTTCAGAAACAGAGGCTTTGGTCGGCAAGACCGGCAGTAGCGTCGATCAGCATCTGGCAGCGGCAATCGGCCTGGAGTACAGAATTGGTCACCCGGACTTGTTTCATGTCATTGACGGGCTGGGCCGTCCGTTCTTTGGGCACCGAGCCAGTCAGCCAAAGAAGACTGAGAACACTGAGCCGAACGAGTCCTCGCAAAGTTCCGCCTCCTCCGGCTCTTCGTCCGGCTCCGGCTCAGTCAAGAGTGTTCACTCGGATGACGGGCAGCAAGCTGAGCAGGCTGAGCGCAGTGGCCAGTCAAGTGCCACGGGCGCGGCACCAGTCCTTCGGACATGGTCGAGACTTGTGCGAGCCCAGAAAAGGATGCTTGGCAGAGGACAGGGGCGGGTGGTTTTCAACCAGGCCAGGCCTGAGTTGAGTGTCTGCACGAAAAAATAGTGCGCTAGTTTTGGGCCTCAATTTGACGCCAGTGTATTTGCCTTTGCTGCGAGGCCTTTCGCCGGCACTGCAATGGACGTCGATGCAGCATCCAGACTCCTGCTGGGACTCGGTACATCGTGTATTGTGGCAGCTACCTCACGCAAGCAATGGTACAGTTCCAGGTGGCTTGAGTTGGAGTTCAGGATTTGTCAGAGTTCGCATTTGCATTACAAGGGCCAGGGTCAGGGTCAGGGTTAGTAATTTTGGAGTTCGTGGCCTAATTAAGACCTCCAGGGCAGCGGCCAGCGGGCGGGAGTCGAGAATTGTTGTTTTAGGTTAGGCAGGATCCCAATTTAAAGTCTGGATTGGCCATCCCCTGCCCCGTGCGATTCCCGATCCCGATCTAGACACAAGAGGCGCGCTATGTCGTGATGGCTGCTTAGTACAAACTCTTGGAGTCAAGACCACTTGGAGTCGTTGCAGCACCAGCGCTTCCTGATGGAATAAATTATTCCGAGGAAGACACCCTCTTGCAGCTTGCACTCCGGTCTTCAGGCAAGGCAAAAGCCAGTCCAAAGGCAAAGACAACTGCAAACGCAAAGGCAAAGGCGAAGAACTTGAAGAACTCCCCATCTGAAGCAAAGCGCATGAAGCAGCTGCAGATGGCAATGTATCGCCAATCCAACATGAAAGATGTGACACAGATGTTGGTGCTATTGGATGGCCTCAAGCTTCAGAAGAGCTCTGAACATTGCGGTTTACTGACTGGTGCTCTTATGTTGCAAAGGTCAGATGCTGTTTTCATAGAGCAGCGTCTCATTGGCCAGTGCATTCGGCGCACCTTGCGGAACTTGGGGCTGACATGTGAGGCATTGGCGCACATGCTGGAGAATCTGCTTGGAACTCTCTCAGACTATGTTCGG